GGCTAACTGGACCACTCAGAAACCAAGAGATGCCATAGCCTGTGGCCACCAGGAGAGGCAAGGGGCTGCAGGGCCTACCTAGAGGCGCCTGGCTCTCTGCAGCGCCACGCCTCGCGCCTCGAGCTTACCTTTGCGTATGAGGGCGGCGATCTCCGGGTCGAAGCCCTGCCGGTGGCACTTCCTCCAGAGCCCCATGTTGGTGGAGTTGTACTGCCGGCTGCACTCATCCGCGGGGCTCATGGCGAACAGCTGCCGGCGATTCCGGGCCCGGAGGAGTTTGCCCTCCCAGCGGTCCAGGCGCGAGCGGCTCGCGCGCAGAGGCAAGTTGTTGTTGTTGTTGTAAATGAAGCCGGGGTCGACCCGGCGGGTGTTGAAGGCCTTGCACCTGTCCCTGTGCTTCCTGGCGTCCGTCTCGTACCAGTGGTCGGAGCAGATGGCCACAGCCAGCATGCCGAGGGCGCAGAGCGCTAGCGAAAGCCCCGTATAGAGCAGTAACCTTCCGGCAGCCATGCCTCCGCTTGGCGGCTACACCATGGGCATGATCCGCCGCAGCCTCGCCTTCCCTCCGCGCGCCCGGAACAAAGCGGCGGGCGGCCGAGCTGGGGGTGGGGACGGGAGGGGATCTGCGCCGCGGCGCCCCCCTCGGCCCCCACCTGCGGGTACGCGGCCGGGGGACTGCGGGAGTAGAGGCGGGCAGCCTAAAAAGTTCTGATCCGGAGAGGCTCCCTCAGGGTCCTGAGCATCCTCCGGGCAGTTGCAGCCTCCTCTCGCGGTGGTGAACTCAACACTGGCCACTTCCCACCGTTCAGGGGGCAACAGTCCTAACCCTCCGTCCGCCTCTGCACGTCGCCCAGCAATCGCAAACTAAATACCAAGTGCTCTTGACCACGCCGGGGCTTGCTAGGGTTTCCTCTGTGCAGCGTGCTGACAGGAGTGACTGTCCTGGCTTCTGGGAATGGTAGGGAGGGGGATCTGAGGACGCGACACTTTGCAGAAGGACGGATCGGGCTGGCGGCCGGTTGCCCGGAGTGCAGCCTGGATCTCTTTCTCTGGGACTCTCCTCCCCTTTCCGGTCTGCAGCCGAAGGCCAGGGATGCGTACCCAGACTGTTCTTTTCCGCGTCGGGTCTTTTCAAAGCCTGGGTCCTCTGATCGCCAGTAGGTCCTTGACTCCTGCGGACCCACCGGTGCTCTCAGAAGCGAGCGGCCCGCAGACACACGGTCTCTACCAGCCTTTGCCCGCGAGCTCCCGGATGGCCTGCCTCTGGCCTCGCCATTCAGACAGCCCCGCTTTTGGACAGCGGGGACACCCGGGCGGCGTTACGCGGCTATTTGGGGCCGGAGGTTTGCAGAGACTGGGCGGCAGCTGACGGGCGTTAGGGGCGGACTGTACAGAGGAGGGCGCACCCGGAGCGCTCGGAGCTCCTTCAACACCATGGACAGGTCGCTCTGGAGTGGCGAGCTACCGGCCCTGCCGCCAGCCTCCCAGTGTCCTGCGGCTCTCTCCAATGCCTTCTTCTTCCTAGAATGTGTGCACCCGGCCCTCTCCAATATCCCTTCTGCTCCACTTCACCTGAAGATGCTCAGGTGCCGAGCAAATGCTGCGGGCACGAAGAAAACCCGGAGCCCGGCTGCTCAAAGCAACCCGCCCCCTTCGCCACCTGAGCACAAGCACTCCAGCACCGCTTGCTCTAACCAGCTGGGGTCAGCCGCTCTCAGATTGCACCATTTTCTTCTCAGCCCACCCGGGTGCGGAGACAAGGGATCCCTCGGCCTCGTGTGAAGGATCCCGCCCCGGCCTCAGCGTCCAGCGATCCGGCTCCCTGCACTGGGGTGAATGGGGCGGGGGATAGAGGGGTGGGGGGAGCCTGGGTGCCTCGGCTTCACCTCCCTACCTCCTCGAGCTGCAGAGGCTTCCTGGCCTCTCAGGCTCAGCCGACGCCCGCGAGGAGCGAGAGCCCAGGCTGCGCCCCAGGGGCTCCAGAAATCGCATTGCCCGGGTGTGGGCGCCCGAGAAAGCCGCTGTCACTCGCTCGGCCTCCAGGCGCTGCAGCCTTGGCTAAAACCCACAGCCGAGAACACGGAGCGCGCAGCCAAAAGCTAGTGATGTCATCCGTGCAACGTGAGCCTCATCTCTTATTTTTCTAGCCTTCTTAAAGTTAAACTACACCATTTCCCAGGCACGAAATGTCTGAGCCTTGTTCTTTGGCCAGGCAAGTCAATGGTGTGTAGGTAGGTATGGGCTCCATCACATCCGTATTTATGCACATATACATATATGTAGCATGTTTACATGTGTTATTATAAAGTTAGGGTTGGTGCCTACATCTCCCGTTTCTCTTTTGACCGTGGAAAATTCCCTTAAATTCGCCACAGTTCTTTAAAGAAGAAAATGCTTAGAGAACTGTCTTTAACCGGCGCTGAGTGAACCCCTGCACCACGATTTCCGCTGCTACTGTCTCCTATTCGTTTGATCTTTGTTTTTCCCCCAAAAAAGCTATAAGCACTACCTTGCTAGCTACTGGCGTTTCCACCTGGAACTGAACAGAGAGCAGCCGTGAGCCAGCGCCCGACACCCGAACACCACACACACACACACACACACACACACACACACACACACACACCTGCCCTTACTCTTCAGCAAGAAAAGGGGACAACTGACTGATCCGTTCAAGAATCGCTGTGGGGTGGAGAGGGCAGCTGATTTTGGAGGACAAGAAGAGTTAAAGGCAACCTCGGAATAGGTTTGTCATGATCTTTGACAGCTAGATTTAGCCTCTTCAGGGTCTCTTTGAGGTAGGACCGGACTCCAGACCTTGAAGAGGTGGGCCCCAGCTAGAGGATCCATCCCCACCCTACCCCGCCCCCTGCTTCTCTCACGTGAGACGGAGCCGCAAAGCTGGGAGCCTCCCATCCAGCTCCACATACTAGGGGTTTCATTCTAAAGCTCACCCTTCGTTTTCACCCTCTCTCCAAAGTCGAGTTCCCCCATTGCGGGATAAAGAGCTGCCCTGGGGAAAAGAGAGTGCCCTAGGGGCCCAGCTTTGCATAGCAGGACTTGTGAGTCAAAACGAACGCACCTCCACCATATTCTTTTTGTCTTTTTTTTCCTCCCTGCATTTTGAAAATCGCGAACAAGGCGTTTCAGTGCCATCTAGTGGGGGAGGGGCGTGCCTTGTTTTTCAGCCTGGAATTCTGTAAGGGGATTTACTTCATGAAGAGAAGTCGTTAGGATAGCTGTTCGGCTCTTGGATGATGCTTGGCTGGTCTAGAAGTTGCAGGCACCTGCTAGTCCACATCATCCTCAGAATTCCCTGAGATGCCCTGGTAGAACTGAGCGACTTTGGTCAGGGTGTCTTCTCATCTTTTCTCCTCAATTCTCCCATTTGTGTCCTTGAAAATAGGGATACATTTGGAATTCATGCAAACACTACTAAAGCTATTTCTTCCCCTCAGGCCGAGTGGAAGTGCTTTTCAACTAGTAGGGTACCTGCATATGACAATAGGAAGGAAACTGAACCTACAAGGTCAATGGGAAGTCAAAGCAAGATTAGCTCTACAGTTTGGGTCTCTCGGTTCCCTCTCAGGTCCTTGGAGATCTAGCTCAGGATCTATGGTGGTGCTCATCCAGAAAAGCGCCTCCTCTTTCAGCACCCCTCCCCCACCACCCACTCACAGTCGACTCTTACTCTACGTTTTAACTTTTTCCATGGCCTTTGGCCTACTTTCAAAGATTTGCCTTGCCTACTATCCCGTGGTCTTTGGTGCTGTTTTAGGCCCAGCTTAGGAAGGAACCTATGTGGAGTACTACCTCCCCCCCACACACACACACACCCTTTTCCTGGAAATCACTTACATTCTATTTTGAAGTTGTCCTTGGTGAAAACACAAAAATCCTACAAAAGATGTTTGTTGATTGGTACCCTCCTTTTAAGTGTGATTGTTCTGAGCAGCTGTATATCGGTTGGAGATGATACTGACGCTTAGGAAGCTGAACATCTAGACAGCATAACTTCTTGTTGTTGGTGTTAGTGTTGTCTTAGTTGTTATCTTTGTGTGTGTGCTCTGCTGGGAAACAGACTGCCGTGCAGTCTAGACAGGTATTCTATGTACCCTGCCTTAGTCAGTCTTCCACTGCTGTTGAAAGAGACACCATGACCAAAGCAACTCTTAGTAAGAGAAAGTTAATTGGGACCTGCTTAACAGTTTCAAAGATTTCACCCATTATCACAATAGGGAGTGAGGCAGCATGAAGACAGACATTTGCTGGAGAAATGGCTGAAAGCTCTACATTTGGATCCATAGGCAACAGGAAGACAGAGCCATTGGACTGGCTTGGGCTTTTGAAACCTCAAAGCCCAGCACTACTGACACACTTCCGTGTACTCCTAAAAAGCCACACATCCTAGTCCTTCTCAAGTAATGCCACTCCCCCTAATGACTAAGATTCAAATATATGAATCTATGGGTGGTTCTTATTCAATCCATCACATCCAAAGTCTCTCTCTCTCTCTCTCTCTCTCTCTCTCTCTCTCTCACACACACACACACACACACAACCTTTTTTCTTTTTTTCTTTTTTTCTTTTTTTTGGTTTTTCAAGACAGGGTTTCTCTGTATAGCCCTGGCTGTCCTGGAACTCACCCTGTAGACCAGGCTGGCCTCGAACTCCACACAACCTTTTTTAAATTTTACTTTTTGAGACAATCTGTCACTAAATTGCCTGGGCTAGCCTTGAACTTACAGTCTTCCTGCCATAACCTTCCAGGTGGTAGGATTACAGGTGTGGGCTGGCTACCAGACCCAACTAGGATCTACTTTTAATAACTGCGGGATCTAGCCTCAACTTCCCCTACCATGTTAGCTACATCACTCTTTTTGTATGTTTCTTCCTGCTCATACTAACACAAGGAAAAAAATCAGAAGTGACTCCAGAGTCAAACACAAAATGAAGTATGACTCTTGAGAAAGTGTCCCAGAAAGTGATTGACCAGCATCTGCTCATACACCTAACACGATAGAAAAGTCAAATCTCTGGGCAAGCAGCCTGCTCCATTACTGGATGGTCCCGCTGGTCAAACAGTTCTTTACACTGAGTCATACACTAGATCCCTATATTCCAGACATTGGCTCTTAATTTTTTGCCTTCAGGAGACCCAGGGATGATATCTAATCCATCCTCCCACATAGGCATCCTTCTCATATTTGATATCAGCCATTATGAAGACACTTGTTCTCCATGGAGAGGGAGCTCACAACAGTACCCATTTACCCATTCCTTCCCTGTGCAGCAGTCAATGGTCAGGTACACCTATGAAGGAACTCTGGCATTCTGTCACGGTTTTACACGAGCAATGTAGAATTCTACTGCACCCTCATTTCTCCTTGCAGGAGCCCACAAAGTCATCTTCCTCTCATGCTCTTATGCTCCTACCAACTGATTTTCAGTTTGTAATATTCACAATTTTTAAATTAGGAAGTCTACTTACTGAGACACACACCTTTGAT